CAAACACACGCAAGAACGCCGAGAGGCCTGGTGTTGGCCTGTAGCCTGATGACGAACCTCTGAAGAGAGCCAGAAAAGCCTACGACACCGTAGAAGGAACTTAAGCTGCCTCAACCGCTGTAGACTTTACGGTTACCCTAGATTCTAAATCCTTCCTAAGCCCTTGAAGCTTACATTTCTCAGTTTCCTACATGTCGATTAAGAGGTAGGTTTGGAGGTTTAAAGTAATGCCTGCCAGGGGGGGGGGGGGGGGCAAGTCTGTGTGCGTTTCAGCCGACACGCCGTGTTGAGGACTCCGATGCTGAGCAGACCGCCGTGATCGCTGGAGCCTCAGACAGGGCTGAACATTGGGGCTTAAATATTTAGAATAGAGCTTTGGGGGATTGTCTTTCCGCAAAATTAGTGTCTCGGGTTGTCGGGTTAGGGTTTTAAGGTTAACCCTAAGGCTCAAAATAGCCCGAAAGCCTTATATAGTATGGTCTTTGGGCCCAAAAGCCTGAAAATATGAGTCCTTAGAGCCTAAGGCTAAGGGCTCAAAGCATCCAGAAGACCCCAACCCCAAAACCCCAACTTCCGTGTTCCTGGCCCGAATTTCAGACACCCGCCCCAACTCAACTGAAGTCTGAGTTGGAGTTTGGGAGTTTCCGAAAATTCGGGGGGGGGGGGGGGGGGGGGGTACCTTATTTTGGGGTCCATATAACAAGGATCCTACTACTTAGGGTACTGTATGAAGGTCCCTTACTATGGGAAGCCCCCCATTTGGGATTGTGGGGCCTCGGGGGTTCAGAATTTAGGCTTGTCTGACGGTTTTGGGGTTCGGGGATTTCTTGAAAGGTTTAGGGTTTAGGGTTGAGGATTGGGGCTTTCGCCCTAAACCCGAAAAACCACGTCCGAAGCCCTACCCTAAGCCCTAAGCTCTAAATCCTGAGCCCTGAACCCTATGGGGTTCAGCTGCTATCAAGAAATCAGGCCCCAACCACCGGCTCCTCCTAGTACAGGAATTCTAACTGTTCTGCAGTTCGAAAAGGGCCCATAAAAAAAAGAAAACCTCGACTCTTAGTACACAAGCCCCAAACCGCAAAACCCTCAAAACACAAAACCCTGAACTTGGGGACCCAAAAGCACACAAGCATAAGCTTTTGTACCGGGATATCCCTACCTTATTGGGCTTCCTTTTGAGGGTGTCTATATGGGATATCCCTATCCTAATTTTTGCTTATGTGCTGTTTTGGGGCCCAATAAAGCCATCCTGCAGAACTCAATTCCGAGGCCCTCAAGTACCTCACAGAGGACTGCCGCACCAGACTCAGTGTTTGGGGTTTACGGGGTTTAGGGTTTAGGAGTTTAGGGCTTAGGGCTTAGGGTTTCGGGCAGGGGGCAGCTGGGGATCTTGAGTTCAGGGGGGAGCAATGAATGTGGATCTCGGGATGGTCTCGGCTTACCTTCCTTGAAAATAACCTATACTCCAAGGGTAAAAGGAGGGACCCTTAATAGCGACCCCTAGGTATATACCCTTCATATAGCTAATAAGTTACTATATACCCATTATAAAGCCCCAGTATAGGGTAGGGGTCCTTATTAAGGGTCCCTCCATTTCCCCTTTGAGTCATGACAGGCTAAACCGGAAACGCCAAGCCTGAAACCCCAAAGCCCTGATTCCGAACATGGGGGACCCTAATATAGCCCCCTAAATAGTAGGATCCTTACTATAGCACCCTAAATAGTAGGATCCTTACTATAAGGACCCCTACCCCTAGACCCCTAAGCCCTAAGCCCTGAACCCTTGGGAAACCCTTGGGCCGAAACACGAAGACGCTCCGTGCAAGAACGGGACACAGGGCTCCCGCCGCGCTTCGAGGTCAAAGCTGTGGCGCTGCCTTCGAATGTGGGGCCACGCACCTGGGGGTTGATGGTTGAACCCTAAACCCTAAACCCCTAAACCCCTAAACCCCCAAACCCCTAAGCCCTGAACCCTAAACCCCTAAACCCCTAAACCCCTAAACCCCTAAACCCCTAAACCCTAAACATTGTTTGCCTAATTGGTTGTTGAATGTCTCTGTGTGTGTGTGTGGGGGTTTGTCAGCAGTTTGGTTCCTGTCGACTTTTTTGCTGGTCACATAGGATCATTGAGGGCTCTGGGTGCCATGTGGGTAGCTTGTCTTGGCCTTAAACCTATCAAACCCCTGAATCCTGTATACGATGCCCCAAATCCTGGACCCTTTTAGAACCAATCCAAGCCCTATAAACCAACCCTAAACCTTACATAAACAGACCCTACAGTTCCAAGTTTCCCCAGTAATTCATAACCTTTTGCCCTTTCTCTCTTGGGGTTCCCTGAGACGGAGAAGGGCTACTCTTCTCATTAAGGGGCTTGTCGGGAACACGAGTTCTGAACCCATATACCCTTGTAGAGCTCTACTAAACCAAGCCTAAAGCCCTAAACCCTGAACAGTTCTAAATACCCCAAAGCCTAAACCATCATAAACATTAAACCCTGAACCCTAAACCCTGAACCCTAAACCCTAAACCCTATAAGCCCTAAACCCCTAAACCCTAAACCACTAAACCCTGAGCCCTAAACCCGGAGGTTCAAAACTCTGCCAGCCGAGGCAGTGCCCAAACTGATTCAGCTCTTGCAGCACACGTTGCCAGGTCTTCGAGGCCCTTGGGACTCAGGGGTTTAGGGTTTAGGGTTTGGGGTTTAGGGTTCAGGGTTCGGGGTTTAGGGTTTGGGGTTTAGGGCTTTAGGGTCCAGGGTTTGAAGGGGTGAAGAGTTTGGGGTTTAGAGTTTGGGGTTTAGGGTTTTGGGTTTGTAGGGCTTAGGGCCGAGAAGGAAGGTTTAGGGCTACACCTCGAAGTTTGTGGGTCGAGGTTTGGGGTTTATTCTTTAAGGCTTAAGGCCCAGAAGGAAGGCTAAGGGCTTCGGGGTTTAGGATTTTAAGGGTTTCTTTAGGTCAGGGTTAAGGGCTTCAGGGTTAGGGTTTTGGACTCGAGGGTGTAGGGCATGTAGGGCTTCAGGGCTGAAAGTTGTACGGTTTCGAGCTTTGGGTAGCCTTGCGAGGTTTATTTGGGACACAAAAATCGTGTGGATCGCTTCTAGGCTTCTACTGGTCTTTATGGTTTCTTTGTTGCCGTGCCGCTTTTCTAGGGTCGCATCAGGGTAGAGAGGTTCATGCCTGGAGGTTCATGGGACTTAGTGACTTAGTAACTACAGCTATAAGTACCTTAGTTGGGGTTATAACTATAGTTAGAAGTGTTATAAGTATAGTTACCTTCATTGTAACCGTAGTTACTAAGTCTCATGACCCTCTAAGTGCCCTAGTTGTAAGTTGGGCGTACACCCGAAGGCCCTAAACCGGCGCTAGGTGTTCCGGCAGAAGCTGTGGCTCAGATTTGGCACCCTCCCCTCCCCGCTAATGTAGGAACCTGGTTAAGAAATCCTGGGCCCATAACCCCCAAAATAGCAGGATTCATATAAGGAACCCGAATACAGGCCCAAGATTTCTTAATCAGGTTCCTACATTATCTTGCTTTGTGCTTCTGGCTTCTGCTGTCGTTTACGCTGAGCTTCGTACTTGTCGCTGTTTTGCGTATCCCGGTTTGTCAACCTAGAGTCATTGGACATTGACGTAGTGCTCGCAGAAACGGGGACCGCGTTCGCAAAGAGCCAATTATTGTAGTTGTGGTAGATCTTGACCCACGGACTCCACCCGCAAACCCTGAGACCTAAGCCGAAAATTTGGCATGAACCCCCAAAGGCCTGTGTTGTGATATCACAAGTCCCACAGGCTGCAGCCTCAATTCCCTTGCAACCTAGAGTCTTAGAGAGCAGGGGCCGGGAGCAGGGCACCCTGATTTTGAATGAAGGGGCTACTGCGGGAAGCCCAGGCATATTATATCAATCCTAAAGTCAACAGAAACCGAGGGCGATCCAGCTGGGAAGGTATGCTGGGTTTAGGACCAAGCCCGTATCTAGAGCTTGACCCGTTTGGCGGATGCTACGGGAGGTGCTGCAGCATCGTGCTTGCGGAACATGTGTGCGGCCCCCTTCTTCGCCCTGTTTGCTTTAACCGTTAACCGTTCATCAAATTACTGTTTCGCCTGGGCACATGCCTTCGGAAAGCCATGTAGCAAGTCAATGTACTAGAGTTACAGGTTTGGCAGACGTTGGCTAGCTTCTTACCTTTGGTTAGTAAGGAATGGAGGAATGGGCTACAATTATATCTACTACGGGTGATGATATAAATCCTGCATTACGCATAACAAGGAATATACCATAATTCCCATAGTTTAGGGTCCTCAAGGTCATGCAGGATTTTTATATTATCAACCGTATTGTATTACTACCATTCTTCCATTCCCTAGTAACCAAAGGTAAGGCTTAGGGGCATTCAGGCGGTTTACTTATTCCTAGCAGGGAATAGTGGAGTGGGTGGAAGGGACTTCAACACGGCACCTTAAAGGAAACATCGTGGAGATCCCTTCCCTCATTCCCATTAAGACCCAAGGGGTTTTTAGGGGTTCGGGTTTTCGGTTTAGGGCTTAGAGCTTAAAGGCTCTGGGAATGATTGGTGCTTTGGGGCCTCGTCGGCTCGGACATGCTGACCACGCAGTAAGGGAGGGCGCTTAGTAGGGTCCCCCTGCCATAAACTTGCATAAAATCCTCCTCATATACCGATATTCCCAACAAAAGCCATTCAAGTGCGCTGCAGCCCCCAAGCCAGGGGTGTGGAAATTTCTATGCAATATTTCATGTGGTTTAATATACCCGAACTAAATTGCTACGGCCCCTATGTGGACATAGGACGCCGGGGGGGCGAGCAGGATGGCTAAGGTTTGGAGTCCCTAAACCCTACTGACCCTAATGTAGATTCAGGGTTTAAGGGCTTAGGGCTTTGGGCGAAAGCTGCAAACCGAGCTCCGAACTCCAAATCGCTGGCTCAGCGTGAGAGGCAGGAAGTTAGAGCCTTGCCCGACCGCTCGTCTTATCCAGAGCTCTTATGGCCGTGGGTGGCCGTCAGGCGGTGACAGAGTCTTGCTTATTGATTGGTACAGTCCCTAAGCCCTAAGCCCTCAACCCTGAATCCGTAATCCCCCTAACCCTTAAACTTCTAAACCCATAATCAAACACTAAACTAGATGGACGGGAACATGTTGGGTTTAGGGGTTTGGGACTTACGCCAACAGTAAGAACCCCCTGGCAAATACGGCTCTCCATGCGGATCCACGTAAACGGGAGGGTTTGAGGCCGTACATACATACATGACATACATACACATACATACGCATACATATACATACATACACATATACATACTTGCATACATGCACGCATGCATACATGCCTAGGCATGTACATACATACATACGTACATACATACATACATACATATGTACCTAATCACGATCTACCTACCTATCTTATTCAACCTTTCTATCTGTCTACCTGCATACCTACCTATCTACCTAGCACGTGTAACCAAGCATAGTCTGCTTTACTCTAGGCTAACCTAGTCTAAACCAGCCTAACCTCATCTCCAGTCCAGTCTACTCTAATCTAAGCTCAGCTAGTCTGACCTACCCCACTTTAGCCTGGTCTTACCTCATCTAGCTATCTATCTTTCTAGCCATGCATCTGTCCACAAACGTCTGGACTTAGGGTGTCGCTAGAGAGCGTTGTATGTTTTTTTAATCAGGGTTTAGGGTTTCGAAGGCAACGGTCTGTGGCACAGCCAAGGACATGGTTGGCGGGGACATGATTCCAGCACTCAAGTGGCCTCTAGCGCTTCTTATCGTAATGCTCGCGGCAGTTGTGATTTTGATGGACAGCGGCTGCCTCCAGGATGCAGTGGTAAACTTTTCTGCACACGCCCGGATGTCAGGGCAACCGTGGCAGCTTCTACAATTGAATATGTGTCAAGCGGCCGCCAAGGTGTTGCTGACTGCATGGTGGAGATGGTGGTTGTTAGCATTTCTATGATGGTGGGAACCTTGGCGCTGTGCTCCCAGTGTTTCCAAGCTTTGAGGTTATTCAATGAACCCAGAAAAGTGGAACCTTAGATAGCAATGATTAGTGCAGGGATTCCCTATACTTTGTGCTGCCTTAAGGGCATGAGGATACTGTAATGACATTCCAACCTTTCCGTTTCTATTGTAAGAGACTAACGGACAGGATGACTCAAGCTAAACCGTCAAACCCTGAGCGCTGCAGCCCTGAACTCAGAACCCGCATGCTCAAGCTTACTCCCAAGACCCGGAACCTCATCCCGACACACTAAACCGTAGTGTCATAATCGTGACTCCAATGCAGAGCCAGGAAAGGGATGCTTTGCCACGGTTATGAGCCGTCCCCCCGGCAGCCCTCGCACGGCCTTCGCTTATTTCACCGTTTCAAAGGTGACCTCCGGATGCCGGTCAGTGGACGCTTTGACGTTCTCAGAAGATATTTTCGTCGGTGTTTTGAGGAACCATGATTTAACCCGGAACCGCCATAGGAAGCCCTGCTTGAAAACCCTTGCTGAAGCCGTTCGAAAGCCAGGGTGGAGGTTTCATGATTCGACCCGTGCGGGTCGCACGGGTGAGCGGCGGAAGGAAATCCACCACCTCTCAACTCGCCTGCCTTTCCAAGCCCAACATCTTACATCCCCATACCCCTTCATCTCATCCTTGAGGCCCCCCATCCCACAGAAACTGCCTCCATAAAACCATGCACAAGCCTACCTGTAACTCCAAACCCTACAAAATCGTAGATTTATGGCCCCTGAATTATAGGGCCCCCAAAGCAGTAGGTTTTTGGATCCCCCAGGTATAAACAAACCCTGAGCTTCTTGTTTCAATGGCTCAAGGTCGCTTTCCTGCGGCGCTGGCTTTTGGTTCCAGTGGCGCTGCGGGCAGAGCCCTCCTGCAGTGCCGAGCATTTCGCGAAGGACCTCCCGGCTTCTTCGATGCGTTCACGGGTTCCATATTGGCGGTTCTCAAAATTAGGGTCTCTCTCTTGGGTACCCTAAATATTAGGTGCCGTACTGTATTCGGGACCCAAAAAGGGGCCCTAATTTTGACAACCAAAACCACCCACGTCACCTCACCTGACGACCCCACCCCACGCCACCCCGACCCCCACCTCCACCCTCGCCCCCACTCCACCCCGACCCCAGACTCGAAAACTTAAATCCTAAACCCTAGCTTTGCACCCTAAACCCCAGATCCCCAGCTACTAAAACCCCAAGCCTGAAGCCCAAACCTGCAGCTCCGAACCCTTGACTTTGACTTCAAGCCTTAAACCCTAGACCCTGAGCTCTCTGTGTGTGTGTGTGTGTGTGTGTGCGGGTGTGCGTCCCACAACGTATGCGACTATGCGAACCTCGCCCGGTGGTCGAGCGGGAAGGCCCAGTGCCCCCCCCTCCGTCTGCCCACCCCCCACATCAGGGGGTACACGTAAGTTGATGCTGTTGTGGTGCAGCTCGTGACACAACGTTGTTGTTAGCCCCCCTCTCCCGCACACCCCCCCCACACCAGGTGGTCACGTTCAAGTGGATGCTGTTGTGCCCGTTGCAAACCGTAACCGTAATGCAAACCCTAAAGCCTAGACCTTACACCCTACAAGGAAAGCCCTAAAGCCTAAATAGAGGAACAAGAAGTCACAGGTAACTCTGCTGTTCTGCAACCCTCTACATGAATTCGTTGGGTTTTGACGGGAGAAAAGTTACAACGAAGAAGTTCCCATAAAGTCACAAGTGAGCAAAAATACAAGCAAGCGTTCTTCCCTGGTGATGGTGGTGCGACTGCAGTGATATGACAGTGATAGTCGTCGTGGCCATGGTGGTGGTGCCGGCCTTAATCATCATCCCCCTTCGGCTGCTGCAGTACCGCCCCCGCCCCAAACTCTACAGCCGAAGCCCTGAACTGCCGACAAGCCCTAAGCTCTGAGCCCAAACCCTAAACCCAAAACCCTAAAACCCTAAACCCTATACCCTGAACCGTAAACCCTAAACCCTCAACCCTAAACCCTAAACCCTAAACCTAAACCCTAAACCCTGAACCCTGAACCCTAACTTAGGGTTCAGGGCCCGGAAGCCTGATCGAAAAAGCCGCACTGAGGCTTTGGACGCAGGTGCTCGGCGAATTTCTGACCTCCGATCTCTGCAGCGGGACAACCCGCAACAGAAGCTTCTCTCAACCATGGCACTACACCCCAAAACCATGGCACTACCGTTGATGATATAAATCCTGCAGTACCTCAAGGACCCCAAACTATGGGAATTATGGTATTATATTTCTTATTCGGGGTCATGCAGGATTTGTATCATCAACAGTGTTTCGGGTTCGTATCATTGCTGCTTTCCTCATGATCGAGGGTATCTTTAAAGGGCTCAGCCCAGCCGTTGGAGCAGCCCCCCCCCCCCACCAAAGACCTAGAAGACTGCTCTACCCTTGCTACCGCGCAATGACCTGGAAGACGCCAGAAAGCATGTTCGTCTGGTACAGCGTTTGCAGGGTTTAGGGTTTAGGGTTTAGGGTTTAGGGTTTAGGGTTTAGGGTTGCAGGTTTGCAGTATGAACATTCTCTAGGTTCCTGAGTAGTGCCCTTTTGCCCTGTTTAGTTTAGGGCCCCCTTATTAAAACCGAACAGTAGGAAAAAGGGTAGCCTTATTTTAAAGGGGTTACTCAGAAACCTAGGTTGCAGGTTTGCAGTATGAACATTCTAAACCCTTCAGCCATCAATCTCGAGTCCACAGTCCCAGAAGCCTTTACCCCTGGGCATATCCCTGGGCATGTCCAAAGCTGAGAAGGCTCCGTTTAGGGTTTAGGGTTCAGGTCATCTAAACCCTCAACCATCGAGTCCAGAGCACTTAAACCTGCAAGACCTTGCTCTTGAAGACCCCTAGAACCTGAACCCCTAAGCGCTAAACCCCTAAACCCTAAACCTTGAACCCTTAAGCCCTCAACCCCTAAGCCCTAAATCCCTAAACCCCTGAACCCCAAATCCCCCAAATTCCTAACCCCAAACCCTACATCCTGCGATACCTCCGAGGAGTTTCAAGAACGCCCTGCAGACGGGGAGACCCCGCCCGCACTGGCTTATCCATTAAGGATTTCGGCTTTCGGGTTCAGGGTTTAGGGGTTGGGGTTTAGGGTTTAGGGGTTTAGGGGTTTAGGAGTTTGGGGGTTTAGGGTTTAGGGGTTGGGGTTTAGGGTTTAGGGGTTTAGGGGTTTAGGAGTTTGGGGGTTTGGGGGTTTAGGGGTTTAGGGGTTTAGGGTTTAGGGTTCATCCATTAAGTGTTCCCTTGAAAAGGATTTCGGATCCTTAGCTGATGACGGAGTCTCCTTGTAGGACTTGCCCTTTCGAGGGTTTAGGATTTAGGGTCCAGCGACCCTGGTTACAGGGTTTTTGGGGTTGGTCGGTCGGTTGGTTTGAAGGCGTTCGGGGGCTAGGGTTGAGGATTGAGCGTTTATGGGGTTTAGGGTTTCAGGGATTTCAGGGTGTAGGGTTTGATAGCTTTCGGCGTTTTGGGTTCACCACTGTACCATGATACCACCATACCACTATACCACTAAACCGACTAATGCACTAGACCACTACACCATTATACCACTGTACCAGTGTTTGCTTTGGGGTTCAAGATCTTCCCCCCTAAACCCTAAACCCTAAACGGCAAGACCCCAAAGGCTTAAAGCCACTGCCCCAAGCCAACAACCCAACTCTCCACTCCTAAGTTAGGAGGGTTCCTTTACAGGGGTCCAAACGGGTTGCAAGAAGAGATCTATAAGGTACTATAATACAAGGGCCTTCATAATTAGAATCGGGTTTTTGGGCTCCTGTTATAGTATAGATATAGTAAGGAGCCCTAAGGGATACTATTGGTAATTTTTGGGCTAATTTCCAGCAGCCTTGATGGCTTTGCGTTTTGGGGGTTTAAGGTCTGAGGGTTTGGGGTCTTAACTTTGGGGTTTAGGGTCTGAGGGTTTAGGGTTTAGAGTCTTTGGGTTTAGGGTTTAGAGTCTTCGGGTTTAGCCCTAAACCCTAAATCCTAAACCCTAAACCCTAAAGGGTCTTGTCCTAGGGTTTAGGGTTCAGGGTTTAGGGTCTACCCCAGGCCCGCAACCCTACACCTCAGACACCGGCCCCGTGGAGCGCCTCGCTCTGAATGGACCCTACGGAACCTACCTTTTTAGGGTTCCCTAATATGGTTTCTTTATATAAGTCCTTAAAAGGGTAGGTTACTTGGGGTTAAGGTGAGACTATGGTCCATTCGAAGTTAGATCTCCAGGCCCGGGTCTTGAAAGACTACTTTCGTGAAGCAAGTACCTGGTAATGGTACCTTTTAGAGGTCCCTGCTTTTTCATGGTGGAATGATATACCCTCGCAATCCTGATTCGAATGATTATGCTCGCCATTTACAGTGATGCCGTATACTTGCAGGATCGGGGCACTTAGTAAGTGGGGTATACGTGGCGTTTTATTGGGAAGGCCGTGTCGAAGGTACTTATCACCCACTCCGGCCACCACGTGCACTTAGAGGATCAGTGGAGTTGGTACCCGGCTGTGGCCTGTAACTTCTAAACTCCCACACACTCCCCCCCAACCCTGCACCTTGTGTCTCTAAGCGCACACCCTAAACCCTAAACCCATCCCTAGAGGCCCGAAACTTTAGTCTACCGCCTTGCTCCAGGAATTTTGTGGACGCAGAGGTCTTCTTCGAAAAGATCTCTGTGGCGGGTCTCCCACGAAGCTCATGGGAGTATGCCATGCTGGTTCAAGGAGCCTCTGGCTCAACAGGTTTTGGGGTTCCTTTAAGGGCTCCTTCCTGAAACTACGAAGCCCGTTTTTTTTGGTAGGCTCTTGTTATAAACCCGACTATGCACAAAGTAGGTTTGGGTAGGTTAAGGTTCTAATTAGGGTCTAGCTTCCAGTAAGAGGGCTCTGCAAGGGTTTGGGGTTTGGGTTTTCTGGATCTCAGAGGTTTAGGGTTCAGGCTTTTCGGGTTCAGGGTTTGGGAAGGGTGAGTGTCAAGGGATCATTATGTATTATGAACCATAGAGGGTCGATAGGGGGTCTTCTTGCAAGGTTTAGGACTTTTCAGTTTCGGGTTCAGTCTAGGGGTTCCGAGAACTCACGTGTCCAGGCATACTCAAAAGCTCGTGAGGTACGTGCAAGAGGTCAAACTGCCACCCAAACACAATAGCATGCATAAGAACCCCAAGCCCCAAACCGAACAACCCTGACCACCTCTAAGACTGCAGCCCCGTCGTTCAGAGACCCCCAAGAGCCCCTTTGTCATAAGCCGTACACCCCCAAAGGGAGTTGAGGGTTCATTTTTTTGGGGTGTTCAGTGTCCCGAACCCTCCAAATTTGGCATCCTGCACGCTGAATTCACGCGGAGGTTTTTCTAGATACCAAAACCCCGAAACCCTAAACCTGGCGATTTGGCGTAGTGCTGCGTCAGGCGGAAGAAGGAGCACTTAAACACCCTAAACCCTAAACCCTATATATGCCTTAAACCACTGCGAACGGCAAGTGGCAAGCCCGAGAAGCAGCCCTAGGCTTTCCAAAGGCTACCCTACGCCAGATGACGCAGCTCTAACTCTAAATGGGGGTTTCCGAAAATAGGGGACCTTAATGTATAGTACCCTAAATAGTAGGATTCTTATTATGAGGACCCCAAATAGGGTACCCCTAATTTTCGGAAGCTCCCAAATCGTAACATTTCATCCCCTGGGCTCCTCTACGGAATCCTAAATCCGAAGCCGCAGAAACCTAGGGGCACTTAGAAATAGTTTCTAATTTTTGGTTATTATAATCCTTAAGAGCCTCAGAAACCTAGGGGCACTTAGAAATATTGTCTAATTTTTGGTTATTATAGTCCCTAAGAAACAGCTGAAATTATAATTTTTGCTAGGGTCCTAAGTTCAGAAAGGGTCTGTCATCCCACCCTGAGGCCTACCTCAACCCCAGGTGTAACCTGCCATTTTAAGGATTTATATAAAGAAATCATATTAGGGAACCCTAAAAATGTAGGTTCCGCAGGGTCCAGGTAGTTCTAATAAGGAAACCTACTTGGAGGATCATGGGACTTAGTAAGTAAGGTTATAAGTACCCTAATTGGGGTTATAAGTAACTATAAGTATAGTTACCCTAATTATAACCCTAAAAAGGTGGGTTCCGTAGGGTCCAGGTAGATCTTCTAGGCTTAGGTGTTCAACCCTTTTGCATCGAAGACTCTCTGAGCCCTAAACCCTAAACCCCTAAACCCTAAGCCTTTTGCTTCGAATCCTCTCTAAAAGCCGTAAACCGCCCAAGACGGAACCCTGAACCCCAAACCCCTAAAGCCCTAACCCCCAAACCCTAAACCCCTAAACCCTAAACCCCTAAACCCTAAACTGCTAAACCCTAAACCCCTAAACCCTTAAACCCCTAAACTCTTAAACTCCTAAACCCCTAAACCCCTCAACTCCTCAAGCCCAAGCAGAGCTCCTTTAATCACAGGTTGGGCCCGACAGGGCAACCTCGAGGGGGCTCAAAGGTGGCTTGCGCGGATGGTGGCGGATGGGTGCCTTGGGCTTAAATTCCTTAGCCTAGAGGCTCCATATATAGTACCATTATGGAATTAGGTCCCCAAAGCCCTGATATGGATGGTCTTTTGGGACCTAATTCCATAATGGTACTATATATGGAGCATCTGGGTAGGTTTCCCTTATTATAACTACCTGGACCCTACGGAACCTACCTGTTTAGGGTTCCCTAATATGATTTCTTTATATAAGTCCTTAAAAGGGTAGGTTACTTGGGATTAAGGTAGACTGCAAAAGGAGCCCAAAAACCTTTTTCTAATTATTAAGGCCCCTATATTAGAGTACCTTATAGATCCCTTATAGTAACCCGTATGCTTAGGATTGAGGGTTGGGGCCAAGGGGTCGGAACTGTACCTATAATCACGAAGTGTTTACGGCTTAGTAGTAAGTAATAATCACGAAGTGTTTACGGCTTAGGATTTAGGGTTCTCTGAAGTAGTTATTAAGAAATTCACGAAGTGTAGGTTTTTTTTTCCGGGCTCCGGATGTCACGGATTTGGGGAGGGCCAGACTTGGGGATTCTGTGGCACCCTTGTCCTTTTAGAAATAATAGACAGAGCCCTATAGCTATATCCCTTAGTAGGAATTACTTAAGAAGGTCTACTAGCCGGTCTGTTTATCCTTTTGGGGGAACCATGAAAAAGGACAAGGCTGATTCTGTGGTGCATGCTCTTAGGATTCGCCTTGTGAATCAGAATGAGGCGCTTAAGATCTAGGGGTTCGGGTTAAGACGCGGTCCTATAAAGACTGTATGAAAGTTAATGGTTCCAAGCTGTGCGACCCACAAACTGCTGGCGTCTCTTGACGTCGCACTTTTGCTGAAAGTTAGGCTTTTCTATTCCCTTGTGCCCTTCAGCACGGATGGTCTTGGAGTCTGGAGTACCCTAAACCCTAAACCCTAACCCCTAAAATATAACCCCTAAACCGGCCCTAAACTCTAAACCCTTAAACCCTAAACTTAACCCTAAAATACATCCCCTAAACCTAAAGCCCTAAACCCTAAACCCTTAAAACCCTAAACTATCACCCCTAAACCCTAGGCCCCATACCCTAAACCCCTAAACCCTAAGCCCTAAACCCTAAGCCCCAAACCCTAAACCTAGAAAGCCTCGAAGCCTTGAGCTAGGTAGGCCTTAGGGACATTTTATATTTTCCCTTATTGGGCTTAGTAGGACCCTATTTACGAGTATTTTTCAGAGGCTTTAAAGGGCCAACCTAGTGAGGTGTGTGCAGGAGATCGTGGGTTCGTAGGCTTCGCCCCGAAGCTTCCAAAAAAGCAAGCCCATGCCGAGCCGTCTCTTAGGGTTCAGGGTTTAGGGGTTTAGGGGTTTAGGGGTTTAAGGTTTAGAGGTTGAGAGGTTTAGGGTTAAGGGCTCAGGGTTTAGATTAGATTTAGGGTCGAGGGTTTAGGGTTTAGGGTTCAGGGCTTCGGGTTTGGGCGGGTTTAAGGTCTTGGGGGCCGAAGGTACACGCCTCCGGAACGCTGCTACCTCGCCCTGATCTCCGAACATTGCAAAGCAGGCTGTGTTGCTCTTGAAGCTACCTTCACCGTGCTGTGTACTTCCGGTCGTTGAAACCCAGGGTTCCTTGTTAGTTAGTAGAGTTTAGGGTTGAGGGGCTTAGGGTTTATAGGTTAGGATCCAACAAAAGGAAACACGTCTTAGTCGACATGAAGGAAGTACAATCGAGGGTCTAGGCAAAAGGCATTGCAAAATTCCCGAGGCTATTCCTTTTACCAGCTTACACCCGAGACCGCCCCGATGCCAATCTCATCTCCTAAGCCCGAAGCCCCGACCCGTAAACCTGCAACCCTAACCCCTCAGTCCTCCACTGTCTCAAAGGCCTGCTACACTTATCCCCCAAAATCCGAAACCCCTAAACCCAACACGGTTTAGATCCCTGATAGAACACCATAAAAGCAGGAAAACCCGTTTCCATAGTTACAAAGCCTGTACCCTTTATGCCCTAAGCCCTTACACCAACCCCCAAACCTTAAGCCCCGGTGGAAGAGCCGTTAAATCCTGGGCCCCTCGGCAAACCTACCTTTCAGGCTTCCTGATCATGCGCTTGGGGTTTTAGGGTTTCGGGGTTCGAGGTTCCTTGTATTATGATTCCCTTCAGCGGATTCTGCAAGTTTGTTTTTGTTGCCTAAAACCCCCAAAGTAGGTAAAATAATTGCCCAACACCTGTAAACGGCTATTGTTCTGCACACTTCGAGGGTCTAGGTGTGGGTTGTGGGCCCTTCTCGGATCAGATGACTTTGTGTAGGCATAATCAGGGTAGCGACACGTAAAGGCTCTTAAACAGTGTATCCAAAAGCCAAAGTGGACATAAACGTACATAATAAATCAAGTCCAAGGGTCCCGCAAACCACCCAAAATGCCTTAGGATGTGGGTAGTTCTCTAAATTAGGGTCCCTCTTTAGCCAATTTGGAGAACTGCCCATGTAGACCCGCAGATCTCAAGCCGCAAACCTCCACCATAGGTCATAAATCCGACGGGCCCTGGGTTTAGGGTTGGAGTTTAGGGCTTTGGGTTTAGGGTTTATAGGGTTTAGGTTTTAGGGTTGAGGGTTTTAAACCCGAAACCCCCAATCCTACACCTTAAGGACCGAAGCCTTAAGACCCCGCTACCTCCAGGCGAGCTTTCTTCAGCGGAGTCTCTGCTGTCTGAGCTGCTTCGGCCGGGCTACCCTGGCCATGCGAAGACTGTCGGATGCACGATGCTGATCCTCCGTGGTATTTGGAGTATTTGATGGTGTTTCCATCTCTGGGCTGGTAGGGGTTTAGGGCTGTTTAGGGTTGTTTACGGTTGTTAGGGTTTTGCAGTTGAAGGTTTAGGGGTTTTAGGGTTCAGGGGTTTAGGACGTTCAGGGTCGACGCCAACCCTGTTGGATGAGGATTGACGCTTACGGCAAGCTGGGGAAGTGCAAGGAAGCAGAGCGCGTGATGCACCGGATGGAGGACGGGTTTAGAGTTTCGTAATTACAGGGGTCGAAATATCTTTTAGTAGCATTCCCTCACAGTCCCTATATAAGCATGGTATAGCCTCCCCAAGCCCGTCTTAGGCGGTAGGGGGACCCTAAAGCCTAAACCCTAAGTGAGGCTGGGCTCTGCTTGAAGGACCAAGGGGCTTAGTAAGTAAGGGTTATCGTTACAGTAACTACACTACAGTTACACTTAATCTAGGGGTCCATGTGCCCAAATAGTATGTGGTTTGGCCTCAAAGTATTCCGTATATCGGTACATTGGGCCCAAAGTATATACGATTTATTGGGTACTTGGACCCTGAGGATTAAGTATAGAACTGACTTAGGGTACTTCTCCCCATGCTTGCCACAGGGGTCCTATAAGAGTCCTACTAGGGCCCCTTCAGGGTTCTCACGGTTTCTGTGCAGTGTGGGGGGGTTTAGGGGTCATTTGGACGCCATCCTCGAACGACTAAGCTATTTTCATTATTTTGTGGCTCCGGTGGCCAAGTTCTGGTTCCGGATCCTGAGTGTAAGCTGCCTTCATGAAGAACGCCTGTTGTTAAGCGTACACACACACACATATATATATATATATATATATATGTATATACACATCCTTAATATGGTTCCTTGGATTGAACTCTTCTACCAGGGCTTTTCAGGCTCCGTGTATAGAACCCGTATTCAACCCTATTTAGGATCTAGAAGCTAGACACCAGGCAAAGGCTTGACAACAAGCCAGAACACGTCTAAAGCCAAACCCCACAGCCTTGCGTTACCCCTAAACCCTAAACCCCTAAACCCTAAACCCTAAACCCTAAACCCTAACCTGGAAACCTCTACATTTGAGCTTGTTAGAGGAGTGCCGTGTCAATGCATCCTTGGCAACCTGTCGTGAGGTTTCAGGTTTGATTTTCGGTTTAGGGTTTGAGGGTTTAAGGTTTAGGGGTTTAGAGGTTTAGGGTTTGTCAAAGCATGCAGGCTAGTGTCGGGGGCTTAGGGTGGAGGGCTTGGGGGTTGTTGTGGATGTAGCCCAGGGTGATTTCACTGGATTTGGGGTTCGCGGGTTCAGCTTCAGTCGGGCGGCGCAAGACCCTGTAAGTAGTATATACGGGCCTCAATAATTGCCTATACTATTTTGGGGGTTCCTTATTATAGTTATAGTATAATGGGCCCCCAAGCCCTATTCTAATGATTCAGGCCCCTATATTAATTAGGGGTCTGCTTCTGATTACTTCCTGATGGTCTTACCTTCTTGGCCCGGTGAATACTCAACACTGGGTACGGCCCCCACTCAGTAACAGTTGAATAATATTCATAATATAGATATATTGGGACATTAATAGTAGCCCATTCTAGACTCTTACTGTATGAGGGCAGTATAAAGCCCTATCTATGCCGGAAGCAGTATACATGGAGCCTTAAACTCTAAACCCCAACCCTAAGCCCCATCCGGAAACAGGGGAGCCGATGTTTATGAGATTTGCTCATCAGGACTCAACAAGCACCAGACATTATCTTCTTGGGATATCCCTTCCCTATTGGCTTAGTCAAGCAGGGTATAGGGTTTAGGGTTTTTAGGGTTTAGGGTTTACGGATCGTGTTCTATATGTTTTGTGGGTCCAACTTGTTATCTAAAGCAAGATGGAGTCAAGCTCCTGACGACGTCAGGTGAGTTTCGGTGCGATGCTCGATGCCTGCGCAAAAGCAGGGCTGCCCGAGAAAGCGTTTCAGTGGCACACCCTCATGCTTGAGCAGGGCTTCCCGCCAAATGTTAAGACCTTCACTGCCTTGATCAACGCTTACGCGAAGGTCGGCGACATCAACGGTGCGCTAGGTGGGGCAGCTTGTTCGAAACGAAGGGTGATAGTCTAAGACCTGGCTCGCCATAAACCCTGCGTTCTCAAGCTGCAAGCTGCTTAAACCCCAGGCCCTCAAACCTACACGTACACCCTGAACGACAGCCTGAATATCCAGTTGCGAGCAGCTGGCATGCAGGTGTTATGCAAAGCATGGAGGCAGTCGGCGTGCTCGCCGACACGGTGACCTACAGCAGCTTGCTGGATGCCTGCGCGAAGCAAGGCGACATGGGAGTTTCCCGAAAATTAAGAGTACCTTATTTTGGGATCCTAATAATAAGGATCCTACTATTTAGGGTACTATACTAAGGTCCCCTATTTTCAGAATCTCCCGAATGAAGTCTAAAGCACCAAACAACAGCTTTGTACAGATTCGGCTTCATTGCCCTTCAGGCCTTCCAGCACGAATCCCCATGCTCAACTTTCGACAGATTTTTTCCGGGCCCTAAACCCGAAACCCCTAAACCCTAAACCCCAAAACCCTACGGGTCCTCGAGGCGATCCGGAGTGTGCGCAGCAGATCTTCGAAATCATGCGACAGCAGGGCCTTCGGCCAAACATTGCGTCTGGGCTTTGGCTAGATTCCTGAGTAGTGCCCTTTTGCCCTTTTCAGTTTAGGGTCCCCTTATTAAAACCGAATAGTAGGAACAAGGGTAGTCTTATTATAAAGGGGTTACTCAGAAACCTAGTTGGAGTACCATACTTTAATACTTTTGTGGGACCTGTTACTCAAAGGGAAGCAATTATGAAAAAAAAGTCTATACTTTTTTCTCCCGGGTTACTTCAAAGCCCAGGTGTCCTACACCTCTCTGGCACGAGCCGTGGCTGTCGGTTTAGGCTTCGGGGTTTTCAGCCTTGAGAGACGCTGATTCTACGGTTGATGATACAAATCCCGCATTACCCATAATGTGGAATATACCGTTATTCCCATAGTTTAGGGTCCTTAAGGTAATGCAGGATTTATATCATCAACCCTAAACCCTAAACCCTAAAACCCTATAGATCCCTTAAAGGAACCCCTTAAAGGTGCCCTTATAGATCCCTTTAAAGAATCCCCAGGATTCATATCATCAACAGTATGAACTCCCCCGAACCCGCAGCCCGAACCCCAAATGAAACCCAAAAGTCGCTAAATTGAAAGCCTCTATACGCCCAGAGATTCCAACATCCCTTAATCAAGGAATACTCCTTAAATTATAGTAGGATCCCTTATATGATTTAAGGTATAGTCCTTAATTAAGGGCTATTGGAGTCTCTAGGTATATGGGTGGTCCCTTTTTGGGTCCTTAATATAATACGGCACCTAGTTTTTAGGGTACCCAAAAAAGGGGCCATAATTTTGACAACTACCGATGTACGTCTAGTCCGAACCGCAAACCGTTGTTTACTTCTAGTTCGGTTTGAACAGGAATGGGCCACTTGGAGCGTCAGGTACTTAGACTCAGAACGTGATGGCGGCTCTACTTGTGTATGGTTCCCTCTGAGACCACGACGAGCAGTGGCCCAACCTCCAGTGTAGGGTTTTAGGGTTTAGGGTGCTCAGGGTTTAGGGTTTATGTTCATAAGGGGTTTGGGTGTCCGTGTAGTATCAATTTTCGGGGTCTAGGGTTTAGAGTTGTCAGATTTAGTCTAGGTGTAAGGGTTCTATACAGCTTACAGACAGACTTACCTTCAACCCAACCCCTCAACCCTAAACCCTAGAACCAAAATCCTAAGCCCCCTCCAAAAAAAGAACCTAAGCCCCAAGCCCTAAAGCACTAGCTTCCGAGGAGCATATGCACTCAAGGGCATGTGGTGCGAGGTTGAGCATCTAGGCGACCGCCTGGAGCAGGACCAGTGCAGCCCAAGGCTCTATAGCGTAAGCCTTAGTGTCGTAGTGTTTAAGGTTTAGGGCTTTGGGGCTCAAGGGCTATGTTGTAGGGCCTAGGGTCTTAGTCTTGGTATTTCTACAGGGTTTTGGACCATTTTTATGGTTTTGTTAAGGTTTGGATTCCAGGGTCTGGGTAAGCCCTAAGCTCTTTATGATGCCTTCTGGCCTTGGCATTTTTTGTTGTGGAAGAAACTCTACACCAATTCATACGGTTAGGAAAGGGGTTAAACCCAGAGAGCCCAATACCGGTTAATTAAGGAATATACCTTCAACCATAAGGTGGTTCGTATTTTGATTTAAGCTATATTCCTTGATCAAGGGGTATTGGGCTATCTGAGAACCTACCTCTAAAGTAAACCCCAAAAAGTTGGAAACCGGGTTAAGGCCAAATAGTGCTGGGATTCCCTATACATCACTCTTAAGGATTGAGGCGATTGGGTTTCCAACTTTTGGGCTTCTACTATAAACCCTAAACACTAAACCTTGGAACCTCCCCACCGGAAGATCCAAGGACTCATATCTCTGAAGGCACAAGGCCCGTGGCCTTCCAACCACAAAAACGTTGTTCGGTTCTTTTTTGTACGTTGAATAGGGTTTTGAGCTGCTGTATACCGCCATTTGAAATAAGGAACCCCCCAAATAGTACTAGTAGTTATTATAGGCCCCTGGGCCTATAGTATGCCTTTTTTTAGACGTTCAGGAGTCAGGTGGTCGGTGCGAAGGTTTCGGATCTCGGATCCGAAAGCCTGAAGCCTGAATCCCGAAGCCGACAGCCTGCCAGCCCAAGCCTTAAACCTTGGAGCTGCGGGCCCGAATCTTAGTAGCTGAGTGGATGCACGTTAAACTTTTTGGGGTAATGTTACGCACTATAAAACTGAAAGTGTACACTGTTGGGGGCTTCTGAATTCAGCAACTGGGGAATCCCCCCCCCCATCCGCTCTCACAAATCTCAGAAGCCCTTGCGAGTCCCTCAACCATGGATGCCTGTACCCAGACCCCCGGAGAGGATCTAAAAAGTAGATCCTTTAATGGATGTTCCTATACAGTACCCTGAGTAGTATACCTATAGTATCTATCCATTGGAGTTCCCTTGTTTGATTAGCCAGTTTTATGGTTAGGACCCTATAATAGAGATTTTGGTTAACCAAAAAACGGAATTACAATGGAGACTATAGGTAGGGCCCTAAATTGGGGATCTACTTTCCAGATCCTCCCGGGGGTCTGGGTAGAGGCCTTGTAGCCATACAGTGCAGCAAGAAACTTGGTCTCACTTGGAGCAACCCTCATAAATAAAATCCTCATGGTACGCCCGACAGTGAGGCGTAGAGAACTCTAAACCCTAAACCCTTAAACCCCAAACCATGCCCGGAGAGGACGGACTCTTCGTTAATGACTTCTTTCTCTATGCGCTGCTCTTGGCCTACTCCCATGCATGGCCGAAGCAGACACAAAGGGCTGAGGCAAGCTTCTTGAGGCGAGCCTAGGGAGCTTGGGTTCAGTGTCTTAGGGTAGAGGTATAGGGGTTTAGGGTTTACGGTCCAGGGTCTGCCTATAGTCTCCATTGTAGTTCCTTTTTGGGGTTACCTTATAGGATCCTAATTTCATATTTGGTTAAACCAAAAAAAGGAACTACAATGGAGACTATAGGTAGGGGTTTTGGGTTTGTTGGGTGTTGGGGCTTTGCAAGCAAAGGAGCAGGGGATGCGTCTTGGGCTTTCGGAGTGTGGTGAACCTTCCTCGAGGTTTGAAACCCTAAACCCTAAACCCTGAACCCTAAACCTTGGGTACTGCCCCCACTCAATAACAGTTGGATAGTATTCATAATATAGATATATTCGGACCGTAATAGTAGCCCTATTATAGACTGTTACTGTATGGGGGCAGTACCCAACCTAAATCCTAAACCTTCGTCGAGGTTTGTCCAGAATGGCAAGATCCGCATCAACAAGTACATTGTCAGCGGACTTCATCGTGCAGTTGGTGGCATTCGTACTAAGGAGCGGGATGCCGGAGCCGACATCATGAACCCTCAACCCCAAACCCTAAACCCCAAGGCTCTTTTTTTAGAGCCCTTAAAAACAACCTAATCGCCCAGCCTACTCAAAGTCTTGAAAGTCCTGGGCATGAGGATTTCAAGCTCAAAGTTCAGGGTGAGGAATTTTGGTCCTTAAGCCTAAGGGTCCAAGTACCCAATTATCATATACTCCCAAAAATAGTAACCTACATAGCTACTACCCCAAACCCGAGTACCGAATTATTGGATCCTTTGGACCCTTAGGGTTAAGCTTGTCGTAGACGCCGCACTTTGACCTCAAACGCTCATCCCTCGGAAGCCAAGCCGCAAGTGCTTTGCGTCATCTGTCCTCTCACGCCTTACTGTTGATGATATAAATCCTGCAGTACCTGAAGGACCCTAAACAATGGGAATAATGGTATATTCCTTATCCCTTTTATGGGTAATGCAGGATTTGTATCATCAACCGTATGACGCCTGAGGAGTTGGTGTACAAGACAGGCGCCCGCTACTGCACACATGAATTTGTGAATTTGTCAAGATCTAGCCAGCGAAAACGCTGATTGACATGCTCTCTTCGTCCTGTGGGCACACTCCTCCGAGAATTCCTGCTCTATCTTCTGACATGGTTCAGAGGTGGCATCAGAAGCCCCAAGCCCTAACCCCGAAATCCCAAACCTCAGCTGCCCTAGCTTCAGCTCACTCATGCTTGTCGTTTGGCATTAAAGACTCGGGTAGTGCCTGCTGGACGCCTCTCGATTATCGAGCCCGGCATCGTGGGCTTATTAGATGACAAGACAGCCGCGCTCTCTGGAAAGGAGCTTGGGGTTCAGGGCGGCTCCCTCATCTCTTTTATAGGCTTGGCCGGGGTTTGTTCTGCAAACATGCCCAAAGCGAGCTTGGCAAAGCGTCGCGACTTGGGAACTCAAAAGCCCTAAAACCTATAAATCCTAAATGTCAAACCCGAAGCTATTGGACCCCAACCTGCACACCCCCAAACTCCTGCATGTCTCGTGAAGTAAGCACTGCAGACAGCGTCCCTCAATCAAGCTTCTTCCGGCGGTCCTACTTCTTGGGGTTTGTGGCTGGGTGGAAGATTTAGTGGTCACTCACCAAGTTCTTGAATGAAGCCCACACCCTAAACTCTAAACCCTAGCCGTTACACTAACCCCTCAAGCCTTAGGGCAGCTTTGCTCTTGGAGATTGCCAGCATTCAGTGCTGGCAGCCTTCTCATACCCCAAAGCATAAATGATACTGCTGATGGACCCTAAGGACTCTAGACTATGGGAACTAGGGTATATTCCTTATAATGGGTACTGCAGGATTTTGTCCATCAACAGTAGGTTTTAGGTTCCGTTGTCTTACGGTCTGGACTCGACACTTCCTGCAGGGCTAGGGACTCCCCAGAGACTCCAATATCCCTTAATTAAGGAGTATACCTTAAATCATACTAAGGAACCTTACTATAATTTAAAGAATATTCCTTAATTAAGGGATATTAGACTCCCCTAAACCCTATAAAGATCCCTTAATAAAGATCCCTTAAAGGAACCCTAGGTATATTCCTTAATTAAGGGATATTGGAGTCTCTGGGTCTTTCAAGCAACCTCCAAGAGGCCCTATAAGCCGCTGAGACGAAAACGTCAACTCTGAACCAAACGACCCACGCCGCCTTAAACCACAAAGCCGGGAGCAAACCTAAAAAATCCTAACCCTAAGGCTCAAAATGCCCAAAGGCCTTAGATACTATGGTCTTTGGCCCGAAAAGCCTTAAAATATGAGTCCTGAGAGCCTAAGGGCAGATCCGAGGGTTTAGTTTCAGGTGTGGACAGCAGCGAATGTCATCAGTGCATGGCAGAGCTTGGTGGCATCAGTGCACTGGTCGGCCAGCTGGACCCGCGCTGCAGAAAAGCTTAATATAGGGGCCTCTTAACCAGAATATGGTTTCGGGGTATGTTTTGCTCCAAGATAGCGGTGTTGTTCAGGGTTTCTCACTGAGAATTTAGAGTCTGAGGCTTGTGGAGGGAGAGCTTACAATTTACATAGGGGCCTCAACACCCACACCTGGTAGGGTTCAAGATGCTCCTCGAAAGCCTACTCGTTGCGTCCTAATAGCTAGATTTTGAGGTGTAGTGTTCAGACACTTTGCGGTCTAGACTTTGAGGCTTGCAATGTAATGCTTAGGGTTTGCAGGTTTAGGGTCCATTTTCCAGGCAGTTCCCGGGTTATTCGGGTTTCCGGCTGACACTTGCGGAGCCCCAAGCTCTGACTCTTACTTGGAGGGTCGGGGGACTTAGTAACTGGTTGTTTTAGGGACTTCGAAGTACCACAACCCCAATTAGGGTCCCTATTAGGGTACTTATAAGTCTACTTACTACCTACTTACTAAGTCCCCCGGCCCTCCAAGTAAGTTGCCCTCACGTTGTGCCCAAAAAAATATGTGGAAGTGTCCGAGGATAGGGGGGTACCTGATTTTTGGGGTACTTATCATAAGGATCCTGCTATTGAGGGTACTATATTAGCGTCCCCTATGTTCGGACACTCCCAGATTCTCCAGACTCGATACCTATGCTCTATGGTTAGGGGCTTGTGGCTGAGGGTGAGGATATAGGGCAGGGCATGGTGCATGAGGGTGAGGATAGATCGAGAAGCCCATGCAACATGCCGAGCTGCGGTTTTGGTATATAGTTGGCTTTGTTCATATGCGTGTTTTTGTTTTCCAGCCCTATGCCCTAAACCCGAAACCCTGTACCCTAAACCCTAAACTCCAGACCCTAGGCCGTAAGCCCCAAACCTTCTCTCATCGTCATAACCATTTCTGCAATGTGAATAACAAGATTTATAATGGTGGTAGTAGTAGTAGTAGTAGTAGTAGTAGTAGTAGTAGTAGTAGTAGTAGTAGTAGTAGTAGTAGTGGTGATGGTGGTGGTGGTGGTCGTGGTGGTAGTAGCAGTAACGGTACTTGTGGTAGTAATATAAATAAGAACAAGAGTAATGATAACTAAACCCTGAACCCGAAACCTAATAGACCCAAACGGAAAGCCTTAGTCACCACTCACTCCTTGCTTTATTCCTCGAACATAGCAGCAAAACGCAAGGAGCCAAAATTCAGACATTGGCCCAGCCTAGCTCAAGGGTTTAGGGTTTAAGGGTTTAGGGTTTAAGGGTTTAGGGTTTAATGGGTTTAGGGTTTTCAGGCTTGTGGCTGAGGGTTCAGGGTTGAGGGTTTAGGGTTTTAAGGGCTTAGGGTTTAGGGTATGAGATCTTGTACACCATCTGAAGTCAAGTTGACGTTACAGGACACTGTGGCCTCTTATAACTAAGCCACGCCAAATCCCATAACATAGTATGACCGCGATTACAATTCCCTAAACCCTAAACCCTCAACCCCTCAACCCCTACTAAACGCTAAACCCTGAACCCAATACTGTAAAACTCGTAAGTTCCTTGCAACCTACAGCCTGCACTACGGAATGCCTCACAAGTCGACTACTATAGGAGTCCCATGATTCAAGCTCGTATATGAAGCTCTTAAGCCATGAACCGGTCTGGGGCTTAGGGTTGCGAGTTTTCGGGTTGAGGGTTTAGGGTTCAGGGGTTCAGGCATTTATGGGTTCAGGGGTTGAGGGCTTTCTGGGTTTAGGGTTTAAGGTTTACGGTTACCCTGAAGCCCCAACCCTGAAGCCAAAGATCTTTTCGGCAGGACTTTCCCCTGCAAGTGGGCAACGACCATGTGCCTCGATCATCATGATATACTTGGAAGGGCAGGGGACTTAGTAAGTAGGTTATAAGTGGGGTTATAATTGGGGTAACTCCATTTATAGGGTACATATAATTCTACTTATAACCTACTTACTAACATGATATACTTGGAAGGGCAGGGGACTTAGTAAGTAGGTTATAAGTGGGGTTATAATTGGGGTAACTCCATTTAGGGTACATATAATTCTACTTATAACCTACTTACTAAGTCCCCTGCCCTTCCAAGTAGCATAGAGTGTTTGGGTTTAGCGTCTAGGACTCAGAGTCTAGAGTTAGGGGTCTGTAAAGGGGATGAGGTTTTAGGATGTATTGCGTACGTGCGTGGGGTGTGCACTTTAATGGGGTTTTGTAGCCCTAAGGGCCCATGTACTCAGAAAGTGTATACTTTGGCCTTAACGTACTCCCTATGTAGGTACATCGAGGCGACAGTATATACTATTTCCGTACATGGACCCTAAGCGTAGATGTTTAGGTTTTAGGGCTAAACCCTAAACCCTAAATAGCCTAAACCCTCAAAGGGCTCATAACGTCGAGGCTGTTGGTTTAATGTGTTTCTGGATGCAGGATGCTTGGTGGAGGAGGGATTTCGAGCGTATGGCCGAGGATGTTGCTGAGTGTAGAGGCCTGAATCATTGGTAACATACCTAGGACCTAGAGTCGGCCCTTATTCCCTTCTTTAGGGTTCAGGTTCCCTTATAAACCCCTTTAAACCAAAAAGGGCATCCTTTTTATGCCTGGGTTACCCTTGGGTCTAGATACTGTGATTGCTGGGGCTCCTGGTTGTAACTAAATCACTAAAGATACCCCAAAACCTTTCTCTAGTTGTGTCTACTTGTCAGGGCCCCTTCTACTTTGCGGAGAGTGTCGGGTTTCAGATGTCGGGCTTTCAGTGCAGCAGCTGATTTTTTTAAGATTCGGCGCTGAGGGCGTATGGGTTCCTTGCCTAAACCCTAAACCCTAAACTCTAGACCCTGAACTCTACTAGGATGCCCAGTAGTACCCTTATTCCCTTTTTGTAGTCCTAGGTTCCTTATAAAGTTACCCAATACCTAGTCTAGACCCTAAACCTCTCTACCTATAGTAATTTAAACCTTATAGTCTTCGTGGCTCTTGATCAAAACTCGTGGCTCTTGATCAAAACTCGTGGCTCTTGATCAAAACTCGTGGCTCTTGATAAAAACTCGTGGCTCTTGATCAAAACTCGTGGCTCTTGATCAAAACTCGTGGCTCTTGATCAAAACTCGTGGCTCTTGATCAAAACTCGTGGCTCTTGATCAAAACTCGTGGCTCTTGATCAAAACTCGTGGCTCTTGATTAAAACTCGTGGCTCTTGATCAAAACTCGTGGCTCTTGATCAAAACTCGTGGCTCTTGATCAAAACTCGTGGCGGTTGACGTCCCCCTAGGGTTTAGGGCCTAGGGTTTGGGCCCTAGGGTTTAGGGCCTAGGGTTTGGGCCTAGGGTTTAGGGCTAGGGTTTGGGCACTAGGGTTTAGGGCCTAGGGTTTGGGGCACTAGGGTTTAGGGCCTAGGGTTTGGGCACTAGGGTTTAGGGCCTAGGGTTTGGGCACTAGGGTTTAGGGCCTTTAGGGCCTAGGGTTTGGGCACTAGGGTTTAGGGCTAGGGTTTGGGCACTAGGGTTTAGGGCCTAGGGCTTGGGCACTAGGGTTTAGGGCCTAGGGTTTGGGCACTAGGGTTTAGGGCCTAGGCCCTAGGGTTTAGGGCTAGGGTTTGGGCACTAGGGTTTAGGGCCTAGGGTTCGGGCCCTTGGGCTTGGGCCGATGTGGGCATTAGGGGTTAGG